TGTGCAACATCATGAATAGGTGGACACACTCTTTACCCAGTGTGCAACATCATGAATATGTGGACACGCTCTCTACTCAGTGCGCAACAACATGAATATGTCGATAAACCTACTACTCAGTTTGCAAAAACATGAATGTGTTTACAGGCTCTCCTTTCAGTGTGCAGCAACTTGAATATGTGGGGACGAACTCACTATTCAGTGTGCAATAACATGAATATGTTGACAAGCTTTTTACTCAAGGTGCAAAACATGAATGTGTAGACAAGCTCTCTACTCATTGTGCAACAACATGAGTATGTCAACAAGCTCTGTACCCAGTGTCCAGCAACATGAATGTGTGGACACGCTCTCTTCTCAGTGTGCAAGAACATAAATATGTTGATACACTCTCTACTCAATGTGCAAAACATAAAAGTGTTTACAGGCTCTCCTTTCAGAGTGCAGCAACTTGAATATGTGAGGACAAGCTCTATACTCAGTATGCTTCAACATTAATTTGTGGCTACACGCTCCCTACTAAGTGTGCAACAACAAGAATATGTGGACAAACTCTCTATTCAGTGTACAACAACATGAATACGTGGACACACTCTCTACTCATGTCCAACAACATGAATATTTGGACAAACTAAGTGTGCAAACTCAAACACAAACTCAGTGTGCAACAGCATGATATGTGAACTAATTTTCTTCTCAGTGTGCAATAACATGAATATGTGGACAAACCTTACACTCAGTGTGCAAACACATGGATATGTGGACAATCTCTCAGCTCATGTGCAACAACATGAATATGTGGACAAATTCTTTACTCAATGTGCAAAACATAAATATGTGGACAACCCTCCTTACTCAGTGCGCAACAACAAACTCTTTATCCAGTGTGCAAGAAGATGAATATATGGACAATCTTTCCACTCATTGTGCAACAACATGAACATGTGGACAAGCTCTCTGCTCAATGAATTTGCAAAACAGCAATGTGTAGACAAGCTCTCTACCCTGTGTGAAACATCATGAATATGTGGACACACTCTTTACCCAGTGTGCAACACCATGAATATGTGGACACATTATATTCAATGTGGAAAACATAAATGTGTTTACAAGCTTTCCACTCAGTGTGCATATGTGGACACAAAATCGTTACTTCCGACTAAGTGTACAACAACATGAATATGCGAACAAACTCTTTACATAGTGTGCAACAACATGAATATGCGGACAATCTCTCTACTCAGTGTGCAACGACATGATTATGTGGACACGATTCCTACTTAGTGTGCAACAACAAGATTATTTGGACACGCTCCCTACTCAGTGTGCAACAACATGATTACGTAGACACGCTCTCTTTTCAGTGTGCAACATCATGAATAGGTGGACACACTCTTTACCCAGTGTGCAACATCATGAATATGTGGACACACTCTTTACGCAGTGTGCAACATCATGAATATGTGGACAGTTTCCTACTCAGTGTGCAACACCATGAAAATGTGAACAATATCTCTACCTAGTGTGCAACAACATGAATATTTGGACAACCTCTCTACTAAGTGTGCAAAAACACGATCATGTGTACAAACTCATAACCCAGTGTGCAAGAATATGAATATGTGGAAACAATTTCTACTCAGTGTGCAAGAACATGAATATGTGGACAAGCTCACTATTCAGTGAGAAACAACATGAATGTGTGGACAATCTCTTTACTGAGTGTGCAACAACATGAATATGTGGACAAGCTCTCTACGCAGTGTGCAACGACATGATTATGTGGACACGATTCCTATTTAGTGTGCAACAACAAGATTGTTTGGACACGCTCCCTACTCAGTGTGCAACAACATGATTACGTAGACACGCTCTCTTTTCAG